GGAAGCTGAGGCGGACTGGATCACGAGGTCAGGACGTCGAGATCATCCTGGCTAACAAGGTGAAATCCCGTCTCTACTAAAAAATACAAAAAATTAGCTGTGCGTGGTGGTGGGAGCCTGTAGTCCCAGTTACTCGGGAGGCTGAGGCAGAATGGCGTGAACCCGGGAGGCGGAGCTTGGAGTGAGCCGAGGTCGCGCCACCGCACTCCAGCTTGGGCGACAGAGCGAGACTCCGTCTTGGGGAGAAAAAAAAAAAGAAGTGGGAGCTTTCAGGGGAGGGTACCTGAAGCACCTGAGATTTGGGGGTCTCGTCCCCTGCGTCCTGCCAAAAGTCTTGCCATGCACCTCCTTCGCCAAATAAATGAAGAGCCAAAATGCCACCCCCTAAAATTAACATGAAAGGGGATAAAAGACGTGATGTTCGCTTCTAACCTGTGTAGCTTGAAACAAAGTTCCCTGTGTTCTCTAGCCTCATGCCGTGGGTTGGTGGGGGGTGGGATGTGAGGGCAGAGTTTACAGGAAATCATCCCCTGTGTGTCAATAGTGCTTCAGTAGCTGGTATTGTCACCTTAGTTTAGCTAGATAGAGAGTTTATCCCTGGACCACGATGTAACAGAATACTGATGTTTTAATCCCATATAAGCTTCTGGTGACTGGTTTGGCTGAATCAGACAGCGTGGAAACTGAGTGAAAACTTGCTGAAAACGTGTTTCCAAATGAGCCTGAGTAGGTAAATTAAAGGCAGAAATCTCCTGGTGAGCCAGTGTCTGCAAAGCCTTCAGGGGAAAAGAACTTAGTTAAATCACAAAATCAGGATCTTAAATGATGTAGCAAGGCGTTTTCCTCCCCCCACCTTTTAAACAATGGCCTTTATTAAAAAGCCCACAGTTCTGTGCGGATTGGGAGGTTACTGTAGGTTTGGAGAAAAGGACTAGATGGTGTTCTGAGTTAATTAAAATGTTCGCTTTGGCTAAATATTCCAGTTCCTGTGGCAATGACAGCCCACAGTTCATTAGCTGAATGTAACTGTTTGACAAGTATCTGAATAAACAGCTTACCTTGAGAAACCCAATGTTGTGTGATAGTTACAAATGCAGTAAGTTCTCCATCTGCTACAGTCTTAATCAAATCTCCCTGAGTAAAGACATTTTTCAAGCAAGTAGAATGCAAGACAGTGTCCCTGCATACTAAACCTGTGTGGTATGTAATTTAGAATCTTTGTTTCGGGAAATAGTTTATATCTTGATATGCATTGAAGTTATTAGATAGATATGCAGTTACCAGGGGATATGTAGAAGTAGCTGTTAAACATCAGTGTGCATTAGAATCACTTGGAAGGTTTATGAAACCCTAGATTGCTAGGCCCCACCCCCAAGAGTTTCTGATTCAGCAGACCAAGGTTGAGGTTTGCATTTCTAACATTTATATTTCTGTTAGAACATTCCAGGTGATGTTGGAGCTGCTGATTCAGAGACCATACTTTGAGAATCATAGAACAGATATTGGTAATGGAGTGGTAAGAGCTTCCACTAGGAATTGTGGCACCTAGAATCTCTTCTAATTAATCATCAGTATGACCAAGGTCAAGCTAATTGCTTTTACTGAGGTTGACTTGATGGCTTTCTACAACTCCATGTTGGAATTATTGGGTGAAATTACTGATGAGTAGAGAATTCTGCTAAGATTGTTGATTCACCGTAGTTTATCAATTATCCTTGAAACGGTTACCTGATAGTGAATATTTTCCAACTTGAAGAAAATGTTTGAAGAAAAAAAGACAAGTAAGCTGCCATTATCAATCAGTTATTATACAATCAAAGAACATTCAACTTCCAAATCAATAGACTGTGCTTTGGAAATGTTCTTTGATTGTCCAATTAGGGCCAACTCCTGGGCCATGCTCCATCACTCAAACCCTCCCAGATTCTCAGATGCCTACATAGTTTGTCTATGACCTTTTCATCTGATTTATCCTGAGCTTCTTTGATTCAAGACTATTTGGCCTAGGGATTTTAAGGAACTGGAAAAGCTCATTGATTATTTTCTTTTAGATTAAGCTACATATGTTGAAAGTCACTAAGCAATCATGTCTGAAAAATCTCATTTGCCACAGTGAAGGAAAACAGCAACATTTGGATCTTGTGTTTTGAGCCAGGAATAGAAAAGCAGCATGCAACTGGGTCAACTCTAGAGACCACTATTTGCTGTGTTGTTATATTAATCAATTAAATAGGCTCCTGGCCATGTTTGAGTAATGTAATCATAGGTTAGTGACTGACCTAAGATACTTGAATGTTATTTTATTCAGCATTGTTAAGCATTGGTTCATGATGCAGCAACATAAAAACAGAATAATTTTAAAGTCATTCTCAAACTTCTTGTCTATAAGCATCATTTAATATTACTTATCATAACATGTATCTCATGGAATATCCTACCCTTGCCTCAGACTGTAAATCCCACAGCTAATGACTGGTGTTACCTGGAGGATAGACACAGGTTTCCATATATGGAGCGATCGGGGCATCCTTCTAGAAGACAAATTTGGAACATCATTTATCTTTTTCATTTTCAGTTGATCATTGACAAAGAGGAGAATGGCCACCAGCTTCCTTTACAAATGCTAATATTAGAGAATTATTTGAAAGTGCATACTGGGCCATTTCTGTGCTAACTTTTCCGCATTTCTTCTTTGTACATTGTTTTCTAGAACAAATAAACACTTGTGTTTCAAATTTGTTACAAAGCCAAAGTTTTTTAGAAAAAAAGCCATTGAATTTGCAGATAAGAAAAATATTTTTTCTATATTTATAAGTTAAAATTCCAATCCTATATAAAAGTTCTCTGTTATTTCTGTAAAATTATTTTATCTAACATTTGAAAAAGAATAAATATTATATAATGTGCTACATTTCGAAGACGATGACATGCACAAAGTGTAACAAACTAGAACACATTTACGAGGACCATCAAACCAGAAGCCAAATACACCTTTCCCTTAAATTATCTTTCTTCTCAGAAAGGGAACCATTGGGCTAATATTAAGAATATAGATTTTCAATAAAATAGAACCAAATATCTTTCAATTTTAAATAACAAATTCTGTGTAAGTTGATGATTGCTTATAATAGTAACACAAAGAAATTCTCTCTCACCTAATGGTCTTGATATGTTTTATAATTTTAATGATTTCCTTAAACATTAAGAAAAATTGATTTCTGAGGGCTATAATGACATTACATAACTAGCCTTTTAAATGTCATGTAACTCAAGAAAAAAGAAACAATATTAGCTTCCATTTGGACAGTACTTGACAGGTTCTCATAAACAGCTTTTTTAAGATATAATTTACTCAAAGTGTTCAATTCAACTGTTTTTAATATATTCACAGATATATGCAACCACCATCACAGTTAATTTTAAAACATTTTTATCGTCTCAGAAAGAAACTCCATACATTTTAGCTATCACCCCCCACCTCCATCCCAACTTCCTCAGTTCTAATCAACAACTAATCTATGTCTATAGATTTCCCTATTTTGAACTTTCATATGAACAGAATTATATCACATGTGATCTTTTGTGACTGACTCTTTCACTTAATATGTTTTCAAAGTTCATCCACAGTTTAGAATGTATCAGTGTGATTTTATTTTATAGCCAAATAATATTCCATTATTTGGGTATATCACATTTTGTTTACCCATTTGTCTGTTGATTAACATTTGGGACTGTGTACACTAATGTTTATGGCAGCATTATCTATAATATCTAAGTTTTTATGTGGACATGTTTTCATTTCTCTTGAGTGTATCCCCAAGGATGGAAATGCTGGATCATATGGTAACTCTATGTTTAATTGTTTGAGGAATTCCAGACTGTTTTCCAAAATGGCTACACCATTTTACATTCCTACCAGCAGTGAATGCATGTTTTGATTTCTTCACGTTCTCACCAAACTTGTTTATATATTTTTTATTCTAGCCATCCTGATGTGTGTGAAATGGTATCTCATTGTGGTTTTCATTTGCATTTCTCTCCTGGCTAATAATGTCAAGTATCTTTTCATATGCTTATTGGTCATTTGTATTATCTTTCTTGGAGAAATGCATGTTCTGATCTGCCCATTTTTAAATTGGGTTATTTGTCTTTTTATTGAGTTGTAAAAATTCTTTATATATTCTGGCTATAAGTCCCTTATTAGATATATGGCAAATATTTTATTCCATTCTGTAAATATTTCACTTTCTTGATGGTGTCTGCTGAACCACAAGAGTTTTTAATTTTAATAAAACTCAATTTATTTTTTCTTTCATTGCACATGCTTTCGGTATCGTAACTAAGAATCCTTTGCTAAATCTGAGATCATAAAGATTTATGCCTATAATTTTTCTATACTTTTTAAGTTTTAGCTCTTATCTTTAGGGCTCTGATCCATTTTGAGTTGATTTTTGCATATAGTATGAGGTAAAGTGCTAATCCTATTCTTTTGCATGTGGCTTTCCATTTGTCCAGCATCATTTATTGAGAAGACTATTCTTTACTCATTAAATGTTCTTCGTACCCTTGTCAAAAATCAACTGGGGCTGAGCGCAGTGGCTCATGCATGTAATTCCAGCACTTTGGGAGGCTGAGGTGGGCAAATCACTTAAGCTCAGGAGTTTGAGACCAGCCTGGGGAACATGCTGATACCCCATCTCTACAAAAAATACACCCAGGCAGGGGTGGCACATGCTGTAGTCCTAGCTTTGTGGGGGGTTGAGGCAGGAGGGTCACTTGAGCCAGAAAGTTGAGGCTGCAGTGAGTTGCATTTGTGCCACTCCACTCCACCCTGTCTCACTGGCCATACAGGTATGGGTTTATTTCTTGATACTCCCTCAATTTTATTTCACTGACTTATATGTCTATCCTTGTGCCACAACCACTGTCTTAATTACTATTGCTTTATGGTGAGTTTTTAAATTGGGAAGTTAAAGTCCTCCTACTTTGTCCTTTTTCAGAATTGTTTTGGATATTATGGGTCTGTTGCAATTCCATATGAATGTTACAATCATCTTGTCAGTTTCCACAGGTAAGTCAACTGAAATTCTGATAGAAGTTTTGTTGAACCTGTAGATCAGTTTAGGGAGTATTGCCATCTTAACAATGTTAAGTCTTCTGATCCATGAATGTGGAATATTTTTCCATCTATTTAGACCTTTAATTACTTTAAATTACATTTTGTAGTTTTCACACCATAGGTTTTACACTTCTTTTGTTAAACTTATTACTATGTATTCTTTTTGATGCTATTGTGAAAAAAAATTGCTTTTTTAATTTAATTTTCAGATTGCTCATTGTAAATGTACAGAACTACAGCTGATTTTTGTATATTGTTCTTATATCTATAACCTTGCTGAATTCATTTATTGGCTCTAACCACTTTTTAACAGATTTCTTACAAATTTTTTATATATAAGATTATGTTATCTGAGAATAGAGATAATTTTACTTCTTCCTTTTCAATTGGACTGATCTTTTATTTTTTTTCCTTGCCTAATTTGCCTGGCTAAAACCTCTAATAAAATGTGAAATAGAAGTAGTGAGAATGAACATTTTTTTCTCATTACTGATTTCAGTAGGAAAAGCATCCATTCTTTCACTGTTAAGTATGACACTAGCTGTGAATTTTTTGTAGATGGACTTTATCAAGTTGATAATATTTTCTCTTTTTTTTTTAGTGTTCCTGTTATTAAAGGATGTTGGATTTTGTGAAATGCATTTTTTGTTTTTTTTTGAGATGATGAAGTGAGTTTTAAAAAAATCATATTGTGATAATGTATTACATTAATTGATTTTTGAATTTTGAACCAACCTTACATTCCTGGGATAAATCCCATTTGGTCATGGTCATAGTTCTTTTTATAATCATGTGGTCAGTTTGTTTGTGTTTTGTTGAGTATTTTTACATCCATATTTATAAGATATATTGGTCTATATTTTTTTGTGATGTAATTTGTCTGGTTTGTGTATCAGGATAATACTGAACTCATAAAATGAATTAGGAAGTGATGTGGTTTGACTCTGTTTCCCCATCCAGATCTCATGTTGAATTGTAATTCCCAGTGTTGGGGGAAGGACCTGGTGGGAGGTGATTGGAACATGGGGGTGGATTTCCCTCATGCTGTTTTTGTGATAATCAGTGAGTTCTCATAATTATTATGTTTTAAAAGTGTGTGGCACTTCCCTCTTTGTGCTCTCTCTCTCTCTCTCTCTCTCTCTCTCGCTTGCTGCCATGCGAAGAAGGTACTTGCTTCCTCTTCACCTTCTGCCATAATTATAAGTTTCCTGAGGTCTCTTAGTCACACTCCTGTTAGAACTGAGGAACTATGAGTCAAACCTCTTTTCTTCACAAATTACCCACTCTTGGGTAGTTCTTTAGAGCAGTGTGAGAATGCACTAATACAGAAAATTGATAGCAGAAGTGGGATGTTTCTATAAAGATACCTGAAAATGTGGAAGCAGCTTTGGAACTTGGTAATGGGCACAGGTTGGATTAGTTTGGAGGACTCAGAAGAAGACAGGAAGACGTGGGAAAGTTTGGAACTTCATACAGACTTGTTGAATGGTTGTAACCAAAATGCTGATAGTGATATGGACAATGAAGTCCAGGATGATGGAAGTCAGATGGAAAAGAGGAACTTATTGTGAACTAGAGCAAAGATCACTCTTATTATACTTTAGCAAAAAGACTGGAAGCATCGTGCCCCTGCTCTAGGGATCTGTAGATCTTCAAACTTAAGAGAGATAATTTAGGGTATATGGCAGAATAAATTTCTAAGCACCAAAGCATTCAAGATGTGGTCCAGCTGCTCCTAAAAGCCTATGCTTATTTGCATAAGCAAAAAGAACTTATATTTAAAAGGGAAGCAGAGTGAAAAGTTTGGAAAATTTGCAGCCTGACCATGTAGTAAAAAACAAAGCTTATTTTTCAAGCTGGCTGCAGAAATTTGCATAAGTAAGGAGGAGCTGAATGTCCATAGCCAAGACAATGGGGAAAATGTCCCCAGGGTTTTTCAGAGCTCTTCATGGCAATCCCTCCCATCATAGGTCCAGAGGCCTAGGAGGGAAAAATGATTTCATGGGCCAGGCTCAGGGCCCAGCTGCACTGTGAAGCCTCAGGACAATGACTTTCTTCCCAGAATTAGGAAAAACTACTTTAAAGTTCATATGGAACCAGAAAAGAGCCCACATAGACAAGACAATCCTAAGCAAAAAGAACAAAGCTGGAGGCATCATGCTACCTGACTTCAAACTATACTACAAGGCTACAGTAACCAAAACAGCATGGCACTGGTACCAAAACAGAGATGTAGACCAATGGAACAGAATAGAGCCCTTGGAAATAATATGACACATCTACAACCATCTGATCTTTGACAAAACTGACAAAAACAAGAAATGGGGAAAGGATTCCCTATTTAATAAATGGTGCTGGGAAAACTGGCTAGCCACATGTAGAAAGCTGAAACTGGATCCCTTCCTTACACCTTATACAAAAATTATTTCAAGATGGATTAAAGACTTAAATGTTAGACCTAAAACCATAAAAACCCTAGAAGAAAACCTAGGCAATACTATTCAGGCCATAGGCATGGGCAAGGACTTCATGACTAAAATACCACAAGCAATGGCAACAAAAGCCAAAATTGACAAATGGGATCTAATTAAACTAAAGAGCTTCTTCACAGCAAAAGAAACTACCATCAGAGTGAACAGGCAACCTACAGAATGGAAGAAAATTTTTACAGTCTACTCATCTGACAAAGGTCTAATGTCCAGAATCTACAAAGAACTTAAACAAATTTACAAGAAAAAAATCAAACAACCCCATCAAAAAGTGGGCAATGATATGAACAGACATTTCTCAAAAGAAGATATTTATGCAGCCAACAGACACATGAAAAAATGCTCATCATCACTGGCCATCAGAGAAATGCAAATCAAAACCACAATGAGATACCATCTCACACCAGTTAGAATGGCGATCATTAAAAAGTCAGGAAACAACAGGTGCTGGAGAGGATGTGGAGAAATAGGAACAGGTTTACACTGTTGGTGGGAATGTAAATTAGTTCAACCATTGTGGAAGACAGTGTGATGATTCCTCAAGGATCTAGAACTATAAATACCATTTGACCCAGCCATCCCATTACTGGGCATATACCCAAAGGATTATAAATCATGCTGCTGTAAAGACAGTTGCACACATATGTTTATTGTGGCACTATTCACAATAGCAAAGACTTGAAACCAACCCAAATGTCCATCAATGACAGACTGGATTAAGAAAATGTGGTCCATATACACCATGGAATACTATGCAGCCATAAAAAAGGATGAATTCGTGTCCTTTGTAGGGACATGGATGAAGCTGGAAACCATCATTCTGAGCAAACTATCACAAGGACAGAAAACCAAACACCACATGTTCTCACTCATAGGTGGGACTTGAACAATGAGAACACTTGGACACAGGGTGGGAAACATCACACACTGGGGCCTATAATGGGGTGGGGGGAGAGGGGAGGGATAGCATTAGGAGATACACCTAATGTAAATGAGGAGTTAATGGGTGCAGCACACCAACATGGCACATGTATACATATGTAACAAACCTGCATGTTGTACACATGTACCCTAGAACTTAAAGTATAATAATAAAAAATAAAAATAAATAAATAAATTACCTAGTCCAAGATACTTCTTTATAGCAACATGAAATGAACTAATACAACTATTCATAATATTCATTTATTAACTTTTGTATTTCCATAAGGTCAAAAGAAATAACTTTCTTAGTTCTAATTTTAGTAACTTGAGTCTTGTTTTTTGGTCAATCTAGCTATAGTTTTGTTATTTTTTGATATTTTTAACCAGTTTTTGGTTTCGTTGAATTCCTCTGTATTTCTATTAATTTTCAACTTAATCTTTATAATGCTCTGCCTTCCTGCTTGCTTTATATTTAGTTTGCTCTTCTTTTATTCAGTGTTTTAGGGAAGAGTTTAGATTACAATATTTGAGGTCTTTTCTCATTATAATATAGAAATTTAAAACTATAGATATTCCCTAAGCATTGTTTTAGCTGCATCCCAAAATTTGGGTATGCCATGTTTTCATTTTAATTCATCTCAAAATATTTTCTGATTTCTCTTTTGATATCTTCTTTGATCCATCAGTTATTTAGAAATATGTTGTTTAACAGCCACATATTTGGGTGTATCCCAAATTTTCTCTGCTATTATTTCCTAATTGTATTCCATTATAATTATTTCCTTAGACAATTGTATCTCTGAAAATCTGTATCTTTTGATTTGATTATTTAATTCGTTCACATTTTATGTTATTATTAATACAATTGGATTTGTATCAGTCATTTTCCTGTTTGTTTTCTAAATGTCTCAGATATGTTTCTTCCTTTATTTCTCTTTTAATAATTTCTTCTGCTTAAGTGAATATTTTCTACAGAAACATTATAATTTACCATTACCTTTACCATTACCTTTACCATTGCTCTTTGTTTTGTTGTGTGATTTTTGAATTACTGTCTAGGATCATTTGCTTTCAAGCTCAAAAATTCTATTAGTATTTTTTGTAAAGCGGATCTGTCGGCAATCAATTCTCTCAATTTTTGTTTATTTGAAAATTTGTTTATTTTGCTTTTTTAATGATGGTTTTGCTGGATGGATCTAGGTTGATGATTTTCTTTCTTTTCTTTTCTTTTTTTTTTTTTTTAAGTCAAAGTCTCACAATGTTATTCATGCTGGAGTGCAGTGGCACAATCTCGGTTCACTGCAGCTTCTGTCTCCCACGTTCAAGCGATTCTCCTGCCCCATCCTCCCATGGAGCTGGGATTACAGGCACACGCCACTGCGCCCAGCTAACTTTTTGTATTTTTTAGTACAGATGGGGTTTTGCCATGTTGGCCAGGCTGGTCTTGAACTCCTGACCTCAGGTGATCCACCTGCTTCGGCCTCCCAAAGTGTTGGGATTACAGGTGTGAGCTACCATGTCTGGCCCAGTTGATGATTT